TTTAGTTGAAGACTTTTCCCAGTAGCAGCTGCAGAAATTCTCCACCTGCTCCTGGAGTCCAGGATTGATGTCCTAATCCTGAAACTTCTCCAAGTGCTCTAAGTCTCTCGCTTACGCCTGGGATTAAAACAAAGCATTCGTGATCCCAAAGAACTGGCGGAGACATTCACATGAATTGTAGCATTGAATGTAGGAGCTTCTTCCCGTGGGCAAGAGGACTTGGAGCCCGTTGACTTACACTGAAATGATCCTTTTCCTGGCCGTGGACGTCTCCAGCAGCACAACATAATCCTCTTACTAGACTTAAACTACAGCGCCTTTTCCATGTATTCGTCGTCAGATAGTCCCTCCGAGTCCACCTCCAGCTGCAAGGAGAATTCCCTCACAGTCTAGTGAAAAGCTGGGGCTACATTTTCTGGATCTTTTTGCTTCTCTCCACTCTGCCCGGTTGCGTCTTGCAACTTGAACATCTTCATTCAGCTCCTTCACACAGGTCGGGACCTCGCCAAGGAAATAAATCCCTCGGCTATGAATGCAGGGACATGCCCGTTCTTCAACCACTACGCACGTCTTTTGCAGAGGAGACTCTTTGGGTATAGGGAACAGACTGGAACCACCAGAAGCAAGAGGGAGAAAAGCCCTCACCCCAGAGAGCCCAGCGTGGCAGTGCTAAGGACAAAAAAATCACATCCATGGAGAGCACAAGAAGGCTCTCTGGGGAACTAGGATTTCCCAACCCCATGCCAGTACATGGCAGAGGAGCCCATCCCTTTTCCTGCTCTTCACCCAAGGATACTACACCACGTCCACACCTTGTTCCACCTCCCACCACTTCCTTTCAGCCCAAGGCGTCGGCACACAGAGCAAAGAGGCTCCTGACCTCCCTTCTGTAATGCCTCTTTTTAAGATTAAGCCTGAAAAAAATTCAATGCTGCACCCAAAACAACGGGGGAGACTGTTGTGGACCCCCCCAGGAGAGGAGGTGAATGTGGCCTCATGGCGTGGTTCCAGGACTTTAACTCCTCAAGTCCTGCATGGACCATCACCACCCGAGCTCGTTCCTCGGCTCTTCAGAGTGAGATGGAGAATATCCTGGACAAGGTGTCTGGGCCCCAAATCATCTCCCAGATCTTGGTGGCCACTCGTAGGACCTCAGGCCCACCCGACCCCCAGAGAGCCCAAGTGAACAGCTCTGGAGCAGACCCGACGTGTGGAAGAAACATCCAGTGCGGTGACATCGTGGCAGACGTTTCCAGCCTCAGCCAGAGCTTCTGCTCAAGGTCTCTGGGGCTGGAGGTTGTTCTCCAGAGCTCTGGGAGGAACAGGACACCCTGAGAGCTGCCCAAAGGTCTCAGCCAGGCCCAGCCCTGCAGGAGCAGCTCCCCCCCTTCTGCCCAGGCCCTGGCATGGAGACCACCCGGGCGCTGGCAGGGAACTGGGCTGAGCCTCCAGACGCAGCTCCTGGGGACAGACCCTTCCCGACA